AAGTTCTGAAATCTGTCCACAATAGGTTACCCTGCTGTTATCTGAAATACTGTTGGCATAGCTTCCAGCATCACAGCAACAAAGAAGCCACCATAGGACAACACACTGACGGGTGGTGGTGGTGGTTGTTAAGTGCCATTGAGTCAGTTCTGACTTAATGACTGTGTATAGGGTTTCCAAGGAGTGACTGGTGGGTTTGATCCATTAACCTTATTGTTAGCAGTGCAGTGCTAATCCCACAGCGCCACACCAGGACTCCAGATGAGTGGTGAGCAATAGTTGCATAAATAATTTGGAATTCTTCTGCATGAGAAATCTGTCTTTTCTCTTGGATTTATTGATTTTTCAATCACTTATTTGTATCCGTATAGGCTTATTTTACTACTTTAGGTTACTCATTGTCTTGCTCAAATTGTTCTACCTTTCACTTTTTGTTAGCTTTGACAAACTTAATGCCACAAAGAAGCTTTGGAACATTCTTTGTAGGGAAGTGAGGTGAGGAAGAAAGGCTAGTTTAGGAGCAGGGAGCACACATTTTTCTTTTCTTGGTTAATGTTGAAATGATTCTATTCTTTTTGTTGTATTTAAGTCAATTCCAACTCGTGGTGACCGCATGTGTGTCACAATGAAACTGTGTTGTAGGATTTTCAAGGCTGTGACCTTTCTGATTGCCAGGACTGTACTCTGAGGCATCTCTGGGTGGGTTTGAACCACGACCGTTGTGGCTAGTTGTTGAATGCATAACCATTTGTGCTACCCAGGAATTCCTTGAGGTGATAATATAGGGATTAAAGAAGAAAAGCAAACATTAAGAAACAGTTTTTAAAATTGTGAATTGGGTGAAGTTTAACAGAACAAATCAGTTTTCCACTCAATGATTCATACACATTTTGTTTCATGCCATTGATTTTAACTCCCAAGATGTAACATCACTTGTCCCACTTCCTGTTTCTTCTTTCCATTCCTCCTTTCCTAACTCTTCTAAACTCGGTCCATGGACAAATGCTGCCTTTTTTAATCTCACATGGTTGGCTATTCTAAGGCGTGTGTTCTTCTCTAGTGTTACCATTTCCCGAATAGACCTGTGTAGATCAGGTGAGATCAGTTCCAGGCCTAAAGGGTGACTAAGGACCACAGTCTCCGGAGTTCCACCAGTCTCTCTCTATTGAGCCAATACTCCTGTTTACTTATTTATTTAATGATTTTGAGTTTTGTTCTGCATTTTTCTCCTATTCTATTTAAGAATTTCTAATTTCAGAGTGGTCAATAGTGGTAACCTGACACCATCTGTGGTAACCTGAATTTCTAATTTCAGAGTGGTCAATAGTTCTTCTGGTCTCAGGATAATGGAAACTGAGATTTGTGTGGTCCATAAGCCCATTGGACTAATTATTTCCATGCATCTTCACTCTTCTTTGAAGAGTAAAAGGGTTTATAGGACTGGTTCTGGGGTCTTGACCACCTGGCTATGTGGTGGTGGTGGTGGTGGGGTGGGGCTGGGGGGGGGCTCAAGGCCATAATACCATGAGTCACAGCTGCCAGTACCTCAGTCTTTAAGTGACATGCATCTGTAAATCGTTAAGGATCTGGCCTGTACTTGTACTGTACTTTCAAACACATTCCACTGAGGGCAAAGCTGTCACATTGCTGGTGGCAGCATGGATCTACCAATCTAGACAAAATGGAGTCGGTTTAGTCATTGTTGTTGTTGTTATGTGCCATGGAGTCGGTTCCGACTCATAGTGACCCTGCACAGGGTTCCAAGGCTGTAAATCTTTACGGGAGCAGAACGCCTCATCTTTCTCTCGCGGAACAGCTGGTAGTTTCAAATTGCCGACCTGGAGGTTAGCAGCCCAATTCATAACCACTTTAGGTCTTGATCAATGAAGCCACTGCAAATGGGGAAGTTAGTTAAAAAAAATTAGCCAAGTGTGATCTCATGGTCCTAGAAGGAGAACAGAATGTGCTTAAGCCCACCCAGATAGTTATCTAAAGAACTAAGCAACTTGGATCCTAAAAGGTGGAGTGTTTGAGAAGGATTATTGCCTGATTATTTCCTTTTCCCTAAAGGTAGATTATTTGAAGAGGTTTATTGCTTTATTGTTTCTTTTTCCAAAAATGCTGTTTTGATGTTAAAATAGATTAAGTGTACATGTAAATCTAATTTACCCTATACAATATGCCTCCCCTTCATAATGGACAAGACGGTCTTGAGAGACTATTTCTCCGTGCTCTAGACTGCTTGGATTGGATCTCTCCCTGTCTCTGTGATTGACTACCGTGACAGGCGGCAAGGCCTCGATTCAGTTTGGCAACACTGGTTTAAGGGCCAGAAAGAACTCAAGTGAAGTCTTATGACAACACTCAAAAGTTAGGACTCCCATCATAAACTGCAGCCTTCCACAAATCAAGTGCTTTAGAATTGAAGCGCCAATATAACACTCATGAGAGTTCGCAGGTGGTGCAAACAGTGAATGCGCTTGTCTGCTAACCAAGAGATTGAAGGTTAAAAAGTTCAAGAAGTGCCTCGAAAGAAAGGTCTGGAGATTTACTTTTAAAAATCAGCCACTGAAAAGTAGAGCACAGTTCTACGTTGACACACATGGGGTCGCCAAGAGTTGGGGTGATTGTATAGCAATGGGTGAGTTTTAAAGTATCTGTTAAACAAGCCGTCAAGATGTTGTGGTTCATGGTGGTCTACTCAAAATTTTTCTTTTTGTTATGTAAACTAATATTTATGTTGTTGCTAAACGCCATCGAGTCGGTTTCAACTCATAAAGATCCCTTAGGGTTTCCGACGCTAAATCTTTGTGGGAGCGGATGGATAAGATTCCTAAAACTAGAATTGTGCGTTTTCCTCTTTTACGTCAAATCTTCTTCGGGGATACCAAGCGTGCCGTGCGAAATGCTGGGTAAAGTAGTCCAGGGCTTCAGAGTGCGCGTCCCTTGACGCTCTACAGTGACATTTTTGGAGAAACTTGCTAGGGGCCAATAAACAGAGGGATCTTTTTCCGTAAACGTCGTTCACGGGCGTACTTGGGTTACGTATGGAGGCGTGGCTCTATGTGCCCACACGATTGGCCAGCGGTTTCCCGAGCATGTGCATATGGCACCTCTGGGGCCGCCAACCTAGCAGGGCCCTATGGAAGTTGTAGTTCTGCCTCTAGCTGGAATTAGGCCGTCGGGCGGCGGCTCGGAGGTCCGAGGCGGTCACCCGCCTTTGGCTCTAGGAGGATGGATCCAGGGTCCGGGAGCGACTCGGCGCCGCTGACCGCCCTGGTCTGGTCATCTGCTTCTGCGCCCCCGCCGCGAGGATTCAGCGCGGTGAGCGACGTCGGGGGTTGAATGGGGGCGGAGGCGGCAGCGTCGGGGGAAAGGATCGAACGGCGGCGGCGGCCGGCCAGGTAGGAGCCTGGCATTGACCTGTGTCCACCCGCAGATCTCTTGCACCGTGGAGGGGGCGCCCGCCAGCTTTGGCAAGAGCTTTGCGCAGAAATCCGGTTACTTCCTGTGCCTCAGCCCACTGGGCAGCCTTGAGGTAGGGGGCGCCCACGTTCATGGGTTCCGGGGTCTGCCTGCCGCACTTGTGCATTCGTGGGGCTTGATGCGGGCGCGTTGTCCTCGTCTCTAGTGACCCTCGCTGTGTCCCCCAGAACCCGCAGGAGAATGTAGTGGCTGAGATCCAGGTCCTGGTGGACAAAAGCCCCCTCCCACCCGGCTTCTCCCCGGTCTGCGACCCCCTGGACTCCAGTAAGGCCCGCGGCGGGGCAGGGCGGGGTGGGGTGGGGGGTGGGTAGTGTCTGCGTTACTCGGTAGAAGCAGGGCGGGGGAGGGAAGGGTCGACAGGCACTCTTGGGGCCTCTTAGGTGCACAGAAGGATGACGGGGTTGGCTGAGACTTGCTCTCGGGCGGCGAGATGTCACTGACTTAAATCACACACATTCTCCGACCCAGATTAAGGATTCAGTCAGTGCGACCTTTTTTATCCATGCTGCCTTTATTTTCTTTGTCCTGTGGGCAGGGAGAACCCCAGCGCAGATTTTTTTTCATTTCTGGACCTTTGTACATACCTTTCCCTCTGCCTGGAGTGCCCTTTTCCTCCTGCTCACCTAGCTAATTCCCCCTCCTCCAGACGCCCAGAACTACCAGTCCCAGCACTGACCACTCCACTTTCTAACCACCTTACCTACCCCAACGTGGCCCTGTCATTTTTGTTTGGCTCCTCAGGGTATGTTTATTGATGTGGGAATTGTTGTTGTTACGTGCCGTTGAGTCGGTTCCAACTCATTGCAACTCTTGTCTATATAGGATTTCCAAGAAGCGGCTGGTGGGTTTGAACCGCAGACCTTGCCGGAGTTATCCCACTTTATTTTGTAAAGGACCAGATAGTAGCCCTTTTATAGGCCTTGCAGGTTAGAGGCCCTCTGTTGCACCTTCATTATCTTGTGTTGTTAGTTGTAACCAAGTCGATCCCAAATCATGGAGGCCCCATGTGTTACATACATAGTATAACTGCTCCATAAAGTTTTCAAGGTTGGGATCAGGTGGCTGGGTGGTGCAAAGGGTTAAGCGTACAGCTGTTTTCCAAAAGGATGGCAGTTCAAATCCTCTTGGAGGTGCCTGAGAAGACAGGCCTAGAAATCCTTGCATTCTCTGTGGAGCAGTGCTACTTGGCACACCTCTGTTACCTGAAATGTTTCTTTTATAACCCTTTAGAAACAGAAGGGGTGGTAGGGGTGCTGTAGTAGAATAATTGCATCCTGGATTTGACCCCTGGCCAGCATACCTCACATGTAGCCAGTATCCGTCTTTAAGAAGAGGCTTGTGTATTGTGAAGCTGAACAGATCTCAGCAGAGATTCTGGACAAAGATGGTCTGGGAAGAAAGACATGGAGATCGCCTTCTGAAAATCAATCAGTGGAAACCCTATGGGTCTCAACTGATCATGGGGATGGTGGAGGATGAGGTGGTATTTCCTTCCATTGTACATGGGGTTGCCACCAGTCGGGCCAATGTGACAGCAGCTAACAACAAAAATGATAAAAACCATTCTTAGCTTAGGCTTATTGGTTGGCTAGAGACTGATGGAACCCCATGGCCCTTCATTACCCTTCAGGTCTGGAACTCAATTCACTGCCATGTCTCAGTGTACAGCCAAACAATAGACAGGTTTATAAGAGGAACAGTAACACTACTGTTACTTAAACACTACTACACACCTTAAAATAATCGACCAGTGGAGATCAAAAGGACAACATTTATCCCAGGACAAAGTTCAGAAAGAGGAGGAAAGACCGAGGACACATCAGAAGGAAGTGGGAAAAGTGACGCTCTTCAGTAAGGACTTGTAATCAATAATGTGAAACAAAATGTGTTGAATGTACAACTGTTGATCCTGTCTGTGAACTTTTACCTAATTCATAATTAACAGCTTAAAGAAAAAGCATTCTGAGTTCCTGACATGCAGAAAAACAGGTCTTAGGCTGCCTTTGGCTTGTGGGCCATGGTTGACTGATTTCTAGGTTTGAGGACTGAAGGACAGCGAGGCTCTGAATGCCAGAGTGGACACCTGGATGGCCACTCTCACAGCCGTGTCCATGCTGCCCCATGAATGCCCGTCCACATAGCCAAAGATCAGCCAGCTCTCAGAAGGCCCTGAGTACATGAATGCTGCACTTGGCTGTTCCCCCAGAGGTGCCGCCGAAGAATGGCCTGGGGATTTACTTGTGAAAACAAACAAACAGAAAACCCAGCCATTGAAAACCCTATGAGCATGGTTCTCCTAACACACACCGCTAGAGTCAACTCAGTAACAATCGGTCATGACTCCCAATGACTGCCCCCGTCTTGCCTATACTACTCATGATGTAACCCATCTCTTCCAATGGCTGTTTAGACGTATTACCCTCTCACTTCCCTGCTCCCACCCCCAGAGGCCTCCGTGTCCAAGAAGAAACGGATGTGTGTGAAGCTGGTGCCCCTGGGGTCTACGGACACGGCCGTGTTTGACGTCCGACTAAGCGGGAAGACCAAGACGGTGCCTGGATACCTTCGAGTAGGGTAGGGCTGCCCCCAGCTGCCAGCCTCCCCTCACCCCTCCAGATGACTCCTCTGACCCCTCAGGTGCTCTCCTGAGTTCCTGTCCCTTCTCCTACCTCTCAGGGTCTGTCTCAGTGTCTGCATCTTAAAAATCACCCAGTCTCATGGGTCATTGTGAGAAGTATCTAAACTGGCATTTGGTAGATGGTGATGTGTACCAGCATTGAGCGTCATGATGTTACTGTGTTGCTAGGAGTCCCCCAGTGGTTCACATGGTTAAGCACTCGACTACTATCCAAAAGGCTGGTGGTTCAAACCCACTCAGTGGCCGTAGGGGAGAAACGACCTGGTGATGTACTTCGAAAAGGTCAAAGTCTTAGTAACCCCATGGAGCAATTCTACTCTGGCACACATGGGATTGCCATGGGTCAGAGGTGACTCAATGGCATCCAGCTACAGCATGATAACTAACCTAAAGATTGGAGGTTTGAACCCACCCAGCAGCACTGCAGAAGAAAGTCCTCGTAATCTGATTCCATAAAGACTGTAGCTAAGAAAACCCTTTGGAGCACAGTTCGATTCTGTATATACATGGGGTTGCCCTGAATTGTATATAACAATTAACAGCTCAATAGCAAATAACAATCAGAGTATGTACTTAGGGTGTAGGGTTGAGATGCTGAAACCAAAGTCCCCCAGAAAAACGGATCACCCAGGGGCCCAGGTTTCTCCTGACTTCACACTGGAATGTTGGGCCGGCACTTCTGGGCACTTGGTCTGGACTGGCCACACTCTTTCCCTCCTTCCTCCCCTACCAGGGACATGGGTGGCTTTGCCATCTGGTGCAAGAAGGCCAAGGCCCCGAGGCCGACACCCAAACCCCGAGGGCTTAGCCGGGACATGCAGGGCCTCTCCCTGGAAGTGTCAGGCCAGCCCAGGTGAGCCTTGGGGTGCAGGGGTAGGGACTGGGGTGGGTGTGGGTGCCTCAGGCCTGACCAGGGCCATTCTATCCCTATAGCAAGCATAGCTTCCCAGAGCGGACACTGTCTCGGCTGGGCTCGCGTACATCCACCCTGCGGAGGAGTGACTCCATTTATGAAGCCTCCAGCCTCTACGGCATCTCAGGTGAAGCAGGAGGGAAAACAGAGGCCCGGCCTGGGGAGGGATAAAAGCCAGGATGCAAACAGTGCCTGCTCCATCCCATGCCTCAATGTCCTCCCTCCCCCCATACTTTCCTCAGCCATGGATGGGGTTCCCTTCACGCTGCATCCCAAATTCGAGGGCAAGAGCTGCGGCCCCTTGGTGAGTCTGCCTCCATCTCTGTCCTAGGCGAAGGGGTCCTTGTTCTGATGCCCTTGGCACAAACATGCTGGGTCTTTCCCACCTGGGACCCACATAGGGTATTTGATGAACTTACCTCCACAAAGAAGTTCTGGACCATTCCTTGGTTTGGAGGAAGGGTTGGGATGGGTCCCTGGACCCAGAAGGGGCTCCCACCTCAAGTGTGAGCAGGTCATTTTCATGTTGGAAGGGACAGACTGGACTCGGTGACAGGAAGTGGGGGAGGGCACATCCAGGCAGGTCATGGTGGGTGAGGGGCTTCCTTGGAGAGGAGGGGATAGTGGATAACAGAGTGGAACGGGAACAAGACTCATCTGCCTCCACTCTCTAGGCCTTCTCTGCCTTTGCTGATCTGACCATCAAGTCACTGGCAGACATTGAGGAAGAGGTGGGTGCTGGGACACACCCCCACCCCGACCCCCACCCCAGCCCCAATCTTCCTTGGGCCTCCTCCACCCTAAGTGTCCCCTTTGCCTGCCAGTCCTCTGTCAACCCCCTTAGCCATCACTTTGCTCGTAGCACCTCCTTCACTCTTTGCTGCCCCCTCCCCCACAGTACAACTACGGCTTCGTGGTGGAGAAGACAGCAGCTGCCCGCCTGCCCCCCAGCATCTCCTAGCCACTCGCTGCCCTAGGAGACCCCTGCCTGACACTGTGGCCAGCGCCCCGAGCCTGGCCCATTCCTCCAGGCCCCATGCTGTGTGGGAGCTTGTGTCTCCAGCTCAGAGACCCCTGTTGTTGCCCCAGCCCTGGAGGAGGGAGTGAGGCGAGACTCCTGAGCCCCCTGGACAGAAGCCAGTGCCTTCTGAGTCATTGTGTCAAAACTCTGGTGCCTGCGGTGGTGTGTCCTCCAGCAATAAATGCTGCCCTGCTGTGCCATCCAGAGTCTTGGTCCTGGCCTTGATCTCCACCACATATGTTTCAGGCACCTGATTCGAGGGGGTGATCACTGAGTTCCTGCAGCCCTGGGGAAGGTGTACAGAGGGGAACCCAGGCAGTGAATGGGCAGCAATTCTAAAAGGCCGAGAAGACCTAGTCCTGGCCTGCCTTCGGAAATGATGATGTTGTTAAGTGCCATCGAGTCGCTTCCGACTCATAACAACTCTGTATACTGTTTCTGAGGAGCAGCTGGTGGGTCTGAACCCCCAGCCATGCGTTTAACAGTCCTGATCCTACAGCTCTAGACCAGGACCCCTTGGGGATAATTGTTGTTGTTAAGTGCCAATTACTAATAATAATGGTGTAGTAGACTCTTGGGGATGCTGTAACAAATAAACAAGAGATTTATTCTCAGAGTTCTGTAAAGCAGAAGTTGAAATTCAAGGTGTCTGTCTACCAGGCCACGCTCCCTCCAGAGGCTCTAGGGAAGGATCCTGCCTGCCTTTTCCAGCCTGTGGTGACTCCGTGCGGCCCTGGACTTATGGCCACATCACTCCAATGCTCCTCCTTTATCACGTGGCCTTTTCTCTGTCTCTGTGTTCCTCTTGTCTAAGAACCCACTCACATAAGGGTTAGGACCCACCATATTCCTGAGAGACTCTATTTCCAAACAAGCTCAGGATTTGTACATATCTTTCTGGGGGTACACATTTCAAGCCATATAAAGAGCCACCATATATGCACATTGACATCAGTACATGGGTCTTGGTGGTTCTCCCACAACCCGAAGGGAAGACTTGTTTTTGTGGCCATCTTACAGATAGTGACAGGCAGGGAAGTGAAGATTCCAGCTGGGATTTCAACCCAGAGCCTGCAGGGTGACCCTGTCCTGCACGTTTCTTTTCCACTAGGGACTTGCTCCATATTTACTAAATGAAAGCCCGAGACTTCCCTGGTCCTCTTTCTGCTCCTCTCCAGGACCCCCTGGCAATCACGGGGGGACCTAGGTTCTGCTGCAGTCTTAGCTCATTGATGGGCAAAGGCATGGTTCTCATCTTGCAGAAAGCTCTCACCCTGATGTAGAAGGAGGACTCAGAAGATCTCCAACACACAATTTACTCCCCTGACCTGAAAAGGCCAAAATTCTCGCAGCTCATTGTCCAGAGAGGGTCACATGGCCTGCCCAGGATTGGAAACCCAGGAACTTACATTCAACAAGCTGATCCTGGGGGTGTGAGAAGGAGCTGGGACCCACCTTAGGAGGGGGCAGTGTTTGGGGGATAGGATCCTGCCTTTTGGTCTGATTTCACCTTGGGGGATCTCATGGTGGAAGATGAGACTGCTTTGGGGTCTGAGGAGGGAGACCGGATCTGAGAGTGCTCACTGCGAGTCTGGGTTGGGGTGTGGCACATTGTCCAGGAGGGTGGGGGGACAGTGGGAAGACAATACAAAATGTACCCACCCCTAAATTCTTCAGTCACATTAGAAAAGCCAGCCACCTATTGACTCTGAGGTGGGTGAATGTGTGAACACCCCTCCCGCTCCACTCACCCCACCCCTGCTGCTCTCCTGTCCCTGGTCTGTGAGACCCACTCATCTGGCATCACCCTGCATGCCTCCTCCCAGGGCCCCTCCCAGCCTGCCCGGCGCCACCACAGAACCTGATCTGACCGACAGGGAAGCAAAGGCCGTTTGTTCTTTCTATTGCTGTCCTGGCCATCCCAAAACCAGCCCAGATCACTTTCCAGGGTGACCATTTGTGACTGGGCCCCTAGAGGACTGTTCTGGCAGGACCATTGCAATATCTCTGTCCTCTGAGCTGCCACCCCTCCAGGGAGCTGCCTGGCTCTGGCTAGGGCCACATGGCACTGGGCAGTTTGGGGCAGTGTGCACCAGACTGAGCTGACAAAGGAGGAAACAGATTTGGCTGTTGGGGCCTCTGCCCAAGAAGGGTATTTGTCCTTCCTGCCTTTTGTAGGTTCCTGGGTGCTGAATGATGCGTTGCAGGGGGGCTGGGTACCAAGTGGGTCTTTCTGCAAAAACACCCTCTCTCATTACTCACTAGTTGGTGGCCCAGGGCACATGGCTTACCCTCTCCATGTCTCAATTTCCTCCTCTTTGCAATGGAAATTGCTAATCCTCACCTCATGGGGGTGGGGGGTGAGTTGTGTCTCTTGGCTATCCCTACTGATCATTGTAAAAATGCTTCCTAACTCTGAAACATCTTTGCAGCTGGGTGGCTTCTACAGCTGAAGATCCAGGTAGGGTGGATGGCGCAATCCCAGTAAACCCCTCAGTTCCTGTATTTAAATGCTGCAGAGCCTAGCTGGAGCCCTGACGGCTCTCTGCTTCCAAATCCGAGAGCCATGACTTAAACCTGCCTGGAGTAACTCCATTCCATTCCATTTACATTTCGGGTTGATCCTGTTTGCTGACAATAATGGTAACACCTAGAAATGATGCATGTGTGAGTCAGGCTTGCTGTTTGGCACATAGTTGTGTTCCTTCCAGAAGGTTCAGACACATAGTTACCCCGTATAGCGTTTCCAAGAGTGGCTGGTAGATTTGAACTGTTGACCTTGAGGTTACCTGTGTGGTGCTTATCCTACAGTGCCATACCAGGGTCCTTGGCACACAGTAGGCATCCCAAAACCAATTGCTCCAAAAAGCACTACATAGTGTGGTTTGTTAGTGGTGGTTGTTGTGTGTCGTGTAGTTGGTTCCAACTCCTCTCAACACTGCATAGGGTTTCAGAAGCTGTAAATCTTTACAAGAGCAGAAAGCCTCATCTTTCTCCCACAGAACAGCTGATAGTTTCGAACTGCTGACCTTGAGCTTCGCAGCCCAACTTGTACCCACTATGCTACCAGAGCTCCCTATAGTGAGGTTAAGCGCTTTCAACATCCCAGGTATGCCTACTGTTGCAAAACTGGCTCTAGAGTCGGTGCTCTCTGTGTTCTCCCTCACTGCCATTCTACCTGCATCCATCTCTGCATGATGAAGATCATCCAGGACAAGCACCTGAACTCCTGTTCACCTCACACAGGGAAGGCAGGAAGTTCAAGGAGTTACCAGCCCCAGAAGCAGCTCTCACCAGTGCCTGATGGGAGCCAGATCATAAACACTTCAGCTCCCCCCTCCCTGACGGGGGGGCCACTCTGAGGTGTATACTCCACACTGTCTCCCAGAGGTCCCCTGGCTGGAGCTCCTGGGATGGAGCGCTGGCTGCTCATGGCATCATTTGCAAACCCGGCAAGTCTCCTCCCCTCCCTGACTCAATTCCCCACCCCTAAGGGGATAGTTCCTGGGATCAATTTCCAGATATCTCCTGTACCCTGAAATCCTCATCATGGGGATCTGTTTTCCAGGAAATCCAAATGAGGTTGGGTGTGAATAAACAGCCTGGCTCCGTCACCCCTGGGGTGGATCCACTCTGCAGGGTGGGTTCTCTGCTGTCTTCCTGAGGTTCCCAGCTAAAGAGCTCGATTGCCTTCAGCATCACCTTAGGGTTCCTTCCTCCCTGTCTCACCTACCCACTCCCCAGGGTCCATTCCTGGGGTTGCCTTTTGGTAAGCCACATGCTCGAAAATCATTTCAGGATGTGGTTCTGGGGGCCCCAAATGAAAGCCCCATTTCTGAAAGACGTTGACTACACTCTAAAAGGCAACCGGATTCCAATAGTTGCTCCAAGGGATTAACTGAGATGTTGATCCAACTGCAAACAAACCCATTGCTACTGAGTGCATTCTGACTCGTGGTGATGTTATGTGTTAAGAGTAGGACAGCTCTGTGCTTTTGGCAGAAATCTTTATGGAAGCAGATCACTAGGCCTTTCTTCCCTGAAGTTTCTGGGAGGATTTGAACCACCAACCTTTAGGTTAGTATTTGCACAAACCAGAGACCTCTTAGTACCCTTTCCCTATTTGGTCCTCCTGTGGCTGCACTTTGGGGGTGGAAACTGACCACTTTGGGGGTGGAAACTTGACAACAACGTGACTGTTGTCAAGCTAGTTCTGACCTGGAACATGCCAAACCCTGATCACATGTCTCCTCCCCAGTGCCCTGAGCACTTGGCTCAAGCCCCAGGTCTCCTCATCCCTGCCTACCTGATTCTGCTCACTTAGTTCCTGTTTTAGGGCGTGCCAGGTTTCACTAGGCTGTGGGCTCTGCTCCCAGTCAGTCTCCCCAAACCTTTCAGAGTTTCCTGGACACCATCTCAAGGCCTCATGGGAAAGAGAAGGGAGTGGACTAGGATGAGGCTAGTGAGGTACCCAGGAAACACAATTTAAAGAGGTGCCCACTTCCTAGCAGCGGCTGAGCCTGCATTAGCACCAGCCTCCTGATATTTTCAAAACTGAGGTGAATTTCACATAATACTGAATTCACCATTTAAGAGTACACAATTCAGTGACATTTAGTCCATTCACCATATTGTATAATGACCACTTCTCTTGTTCCAGAACATTCTCATCACCCTAAAGGAAACTCTGAATCCATTAGCAGTGACTTTTCCATTCACCCTCCCCGAAGCTCTTTTGGTTTTGTGTGCCACTGAGTTAATTCTGACTCACAGTAACCATATACAGATGACAGAGTTGAACTGCCTCATGGGATTTTCTGGGCTAGCGCAGTAGGATAAGCACAGGACTGCTAACCACAAAGTTGGCAGTTCAAACCCACCAGTCACTCCTTGCAAACACTACACAGGGTCACTATGAGTCGGACTTGACTAGACAGCACTTAACAACAGCAACAGCAACCATCTTTACAGAAGCGGAGTGCCAGGACTTCCTCTCACTTCCGGTCTCTCTGGATTTGCCTGTTCTGGACATTTCATGTAAATGGAATCCTACACTATGTGGCTCTCTCACTGAGCATCATACTTCTGAGGTTCAGCCATATGGCAGCATGTATCAGGACTTCATTTATTTTTATGGGTGAGTAATATTCCACTGTATGGATGGCCCACATTGTGTTTGTCCATACATCTGTCTATGAACACTTAAGTTGTTTCCACCTTTCAGCCATTGTGATTTATGCTGTAAGAACATGCTGGTACAAGGATTGTACCTCCTTAAATTTTGTGCTTTCACCTCTTCCTAGCCCCTAGGATGAGGACAGCGCCTTCTTTTCCTGAGCTGGGATCTGGGGTCTTCTGGGACTGCAGGATCTAACTTTAAGCTCTCCTGGCAGGTCAAAGAGCTCCTCACTGGCAGCCAGCTCTCTGCCTCTGTCTTCTCTCTTGCTCCTCCCCTCCTTGAGGCCTCAGGACCCTATTGAATTTCCAGAGTTCTGGAAACTGCTGCTGTCAGTGTGCCCCAGACACCTGCTGTGTCCCGGGTACAGAGTTATAGCCGCCAACACCATGTGCTCTCAAACATACATGTGACCTCATATCTCAGGCCTCAGCTTTACCATCTGTGAAAGGGGTATTCCTGAGGATTGGCTGAGACTAGTATAGCAGTTGGTGGTACTGCAGGACCTGGTATGCATAAGAATATGTGGTTTATTTTTATTTCATCCGCTTATAGTGCTCACTGTGTTCCCTCAGTGTGCCAAGAGACCCCCACCCCATGGATGAGGAAACAGAGGTCCCCACAGCTTTCCGGGGCCTAGGAAGGAGGCGGCCAAGGTTGGTAGGGCTTCTGGTCTGTAGGGTCTGCTCAGGGACCAACCCTTGCTGGGTGCTATCCTCCCTGAGCCCCAGAAGAGCCTTCTCCCCTCTCTGGGGCCTGAATCCCCCATGGCTCAGAAGGGACAAGCTGGGAGACTTCTGGAGATACCTGTCTGCTGAGAGCCAACCTCAGCAAACTTATTCAGGGGTTCCGAAGAGGTGTGCCGTGTTGGCGGGAAAGAATTACACAGAGTCGATAAGTCGTGATGAATTCAAAATCTTCTCTTTCATGCTTCATTCTTTTTTTATTCTCTCTTACAACCCCCTTATATACCATTACATAAAACATTGCTTTCGTAATAATTGATGTCTTCTAAGTACAATCTACTCTGGGAGCACAGTCTTCATGGTTTACGACCCTTAGGTTAACATTAGGGATAAGAAGTTCAAACATTACATCAGAGCATACATGACATCCTGCTTTCTTGCAACCTCTTGGTTAAACATTTGTTCCTACATAAGTAGCTTTTGTTCTTTTCTCTGAAGAGCAAGTTAACCTTTGTATATGTTTCTTAACCTCTATCTATAGCTCTGGTAGCGTAGTGGTTACGAATCGGGCTGCGAACCTTAAGGTCAGCGGTTCGAAACTACCAGCCGCTCCGCGGGAGAAAGATGAGGCTTTCTACTCCCGTAAGGATTTACACCCTCGGAAACCCTGTACAGGGTCGCTATGGGTCGGAACTGACTCGACGGCACTTAACAACAACAACAACAACAATTAAGTCTTGTTAAATCATCAGTTTTAGTTGTTGGGTGCAATCAACTCCCTCCTGACACTATCTGTTTATAGCCTACAAAAACATCACTTATTGACAAAACTGAGGTCATGGAAAACAACTTCCCTTATCAATCTAAGAACATCCAAGTTAAACCTTTTATTTGTACCCATAGTTGCATAGCTCTCATTCATGGCCTAGCTAAGAATTCCTTATTGTCTTGAACTAAGGTTACAAGGAAGAATGTTTACAATCACTAAACCTAAGCTGGTAGTAGTTCAACTGACAAATCCTGTTTCCTAGCAGTCTTAAAAATATTGTTAATATAAGTATTAAAACTACCTATGATTACAAGTAGAGTAAATGTAGCTAGTATATGGCTTCTAACTTTTAATAAAAATACACTAAAGTGTAGGAGAGTCCAAATTTAAAATAAAGGGATACTAATAAAATCATGAATAAATCAGAGAATGATTCAAGAAAAAGATAAAAAAGAATTAAGAGCCTTTGCATAGAGTTTTTTCCTTGTAGCTCTGCTATCCAAGGAAAGCACTTCATTGTTGCTTTGCTAGAACAATGAGCTCTTCATGCGCAGGGTCCCCGTCGTCTCATTTCTTTATTCTTTGATTAATATGTCGTCCCTTTATTTCAATTTCTTGATTAATATGACCCCCGCTATCTGTCCATTTGGGTGGGGTGGGGCCAGGCCATCTCCACCCCTAAAGGGAATTCCTATGTGTGAACATTGGTGGTATTTGGGATTCCAGATTGGGCCTTCAGAGAGGCATGAACTGCCTCTGTCCAAGTGACACAGAGAAAACAGTTAGTCTGAGTTTATTTGTGGGTTGGGGGGGGGGGGGGTTCTATCTCTGGAATCCCATCAGCTCTGTGAGTCCCAGAAACTGCCCATCAGGCCCCTGTCTTTGAAGGCAGTGGGAGCCCAGCCACCAGCCATTCCTCCCTTGTCCCTGACAGTTGTCAGGGCCAGGTGACAAGATTGAAGACCTACTGCGTGCAGGGCACTGGAGGGGTTTACAGAGTCAGTCACACATGTACCCTGTATGTTACCATTTTACAGACAAGGAAACCGAGGCACAGAAAGGGGAACCCCTCACCTGCAGACTTGGCCCTGGCCCTGGGCTGCCCTGAATCTCAGCACATAGGTTTCAGACGCTCCCAGCTCAGGCGGTGTGGCGAGGGATTGCAGAGTCTGAAACTTGCTCGGTCTGCAGCATGGGGGCTATGGGAGTTGGGTGTGAATCCTGGCTCTGATGCTCAGTACTGGCTGTGGGCCCCCAGGTGAGTCACTGCCTCTCTCGGAACCTCGGTTTCCTCATCTGTAAAATGGACAGAGGCATTCAGAGAACTTGTCACCTGTGCCAAAACCCTCCCTCCTACTTTTAACAGTCTCACTCATTCTGTGGAGCTGTGACCACAGGACTGCAATTTGGCTAATAAGTCATCATTATTCCAAGGGCTCTCAGAAAGGCTTCTTGAAGGCACTGACCCAGCCCTGGCCTCTGCCTTTCCCTCTGACCAAGGAGATGAGGCTGGAGTCCCTGCAGCTATTTTGCACCACAAAGTATCCTTCAGGACAAAAGCCTGAAATCTTGAGATGGCTCGAACTGAGGGAAATCAAATTCTACTGTTACTGTGGCTGAGCCTGGACCCATCCCTACGGAGTTCTTTTCCTGTTGTCTGACTCCAGGCCCCTAATCCCTGACCTCTATGCTCACACCAGCGTGGAGTCCTTCCCTGTGGCTCCTGGCCTGTGTCCCAGGATGCTGCGTATCTCATGGGTGACTCCTTCCCAGGGCCCTGTTTCAGGCGGCATTATCTGGTGCATGAAGGATGCAGGTGGGCTGCTCTCCTGGCCTCCCCCCAGGGTCACAGGTGCCATGGTGGTGGCCATGGTCCCAAAGGGGATCCTAGGCTCTGGGCAGGTTGCATAGGGGGTTTGACGGTGGGTACCCTGTTGGAACTTAGTCCTAGGGCTGGCCTTGGAGACCTCGGTGGAGCGGGCGGAGTCATCCTCAAAAGGTGGTGGGGACAGCTCATGGAGGCCACGGCGGGTGGCCCGGGCAGCACGGAGGAGAGTGTGGGTCAGCACGGCCACCAGAGCCAGGGCGCCCAAGCCAAGGATGGAAGCGGTCACTGCACCCGTCTCAATCTCAAAGAGCAGCAGAGCATAGATGGACAGTGCTGGGGAGGAAAATAACTCTCATTTATTCATTCAACAAACTCTAGCTGCAGGTTCTCAAGGGCCTTCCCCAAACATCACAGACCAGCCCACAATATATAAGGCAGGATATAACAGGAACTCATTTGATCCTGTTATATCCTCCACACATCATCAACTCCCTTTACACATGAGGAAGCTGAGGCCCAGAGAGGTTAGGGCCTTTCCCAAAGCTGCCCAGCTGGGAAACGACAGAAATGCCCTCACTTTACAGACATAAAAGCTGAGGTTGGGAAGGGGACTCTCTGGCCCAAGGTCACCTAGCCAGTGAACTCAGCTCCACCTTTGAAACCCAAGTCTGATGAAAAGATGCTCAAGGTCATTAATCATTTAGGAAACACAAATGCAAGCCACGATGAGATACTACTTCCCACTGGCTAAAAGTGCAAACCCATTGCGAGCCAATCCAATCTGACTCAACCACCCCACGTAGAATCCTGCTCTGGGGGGTTTTCTTGTCTGTAATCCTTTCAGAAGCAGAACACCAGGTATTTCTTCCACAGTACCGCTGTGTGAGCTCACATTACAAACCTTTGTTGTTGTTGTCAGGTGCCATCGAGTCGGAATCGACTCATAGCAACCCCATGCACAGCAGAACGAAACAATGTCCAATCCTGGGCCAACCTCACTACCGCCGCCACACTTGACGCCATCAATGATGTCACCTGGCTGATCCATCTCGTTGGGGGTCTCCTTTTTTTTCTCTGACCCTCCATCCTTCTCCAGCGACTGTTTTCTCCAGACAATGTGTCCAAAGTGAGAGAGACGAAGCTTAGCCATCTTGGCCTCCAAGGAGCACTCTGGCTGCACTTCTTCCAAAACAGATCTATTGGTTCTTTTGGCAGTCCGTGGCACTTTCAGTATTCTCCTCCAACACCACAACTCAAAG